GTCTTGAAGATGAAACGTCCTCCCCATACAAGTCAGTGAGATTGGTATACATATAAGACACAAAACCTTTAGATTCTTTTTTTTCAGTCAAGTTAAATTTGACACAGTGTCGCAACTGTAAGTCTGAACTGGCCAGGAATCTACAGAAATACAGAGACTGGCACAGAGGCAGATCAGACTACAGAAACATGGTTCTGAATAGTGTTACTACTAATGTTACTTGAGTCTCCTTGGCTAGATTGAAAGCGGTCACACCATCACCCTGGCTTAGTGACAATAGGACCAAATGTGTTGTGTCTCAGTTAATTTTTATACTACACCCTTACAGAAATCCATCATGCATAACCACTTATCCAAAGTATTACCAAGCCTGCAGCCTTCCCAAAAAGCACAGTGCATGAGGCAGAGGACACCCTGAATGGGCTGTCAGTCCCTGTCCAAGGTACATGCTGACACAATACAGACAATTTAGAGAAAACCATGTACATTACACATTTTTGACCTGTTGGATAAACCCACCTAGACATAAGGAAAATGTGAATTTTACATATGGACCTGGGGACAGGAATTGAACCCCCATCCCTGGAGGTGAGAGACTGCACTGCTCACCACTGATACTATGGTGTAATGAAGTTCCATTCAGCCAACAATGTTGACCAGTCTATGCTAATCAGTTCAGACAGATAAGCTAAAGATCTTAAAAAGATTTATAAGTAAGAAAAAAAAACAGAAGGCTGGGAAGGCAGCAAAGATACATGAGAGCTGTGGTTATTTGACTAGTTGAGGTCACTGTCCTTGTGGAGGATTTTGTCCATGTTCCTTGAAAGTGATGCATTGGAATACATCTATCCATCCAGTATTCAGCTGCTTTTCCTGGTCAGACTCAGAGGGTCCTGGAGCTGTAAAATGATCTCCAATAAGGATGGTATAGTTATAATGTCATTATTTTAAATTGATAGGTATAGCAGTTACAAACCACTGGATTCCTGAATGTACTGAAATAATAGAGCAACCCTTTAAAGACATCCTGACAAACCTGTCAAAGAATGACATGGTAAACAGTGTCAAAAGCAGTGCTATCCACAGGATTATAATCATTGTTACACTTCCACATGGTAAACTTTTAATATTTGAATTTGGTTCAGTTTCTGTGCAGTGACAGGTAAGGGGCAGAAATCAAAAATATTATTTCTGGTGTAAAGTGAATACTGTATCTGTGATTTAAGAGGCTAGTATTTTCTCAAGGTCTTTGAAAGAGGTAAATGAAAAAATAGTTACTCTGCACATTATGAATTGGGTTTCTTTAGCAAAGGTCTCACTAGAGCAGGGGTACTCAACAGACGGACCCCAAAACACAGTTTAATCTGCGTGATGGATCTCAAATTTTATCATCATCATTGTTGCTGAATTGCTGATGAAAAACTGGGAACATTGTGAGAATCATGTTTTGTTATTTCTCCAGCACTATCAGCACTATCCAACCATCACTGCTGAGGAGCTAAATGGAGAGGATGGAGGTGGATCAGTGCCTCATATCCAGACCTATCAACTACCTCACCTATACACCACAGTTTTTAACATTGGACTGTGTGTTTAATACGGTGTTCTGCAGTACATGTGGTCTAAGGGAACTGTCCTGGCCTGCTGTCTCTGTGCATGGCTCTCCAGCTGCACATTGGCACAGAAGAAAGAGCTCCACAGGGTCATTCAGGTTGCCCAGCGGATAGTCGGCTGCCCTCTCCCTTCACTTGAAGAACTACACAGTTCCTGTTGTCTCAGGAACATCCAGAAAATTCTACAGGACCCATCACACCCTGGACATGTACTGTTTGAAAACCTGCCTTCAAGCAGATGTTTCAGATTCATAAAGACTAAAACTAACAGACTAAAAAAGTTTCTATCCTTCAGCCATCACCATACTAAATGCTGCTAAGTTGACAATCTGATCTAGTGCACCTTCATGTTTATAATACAGTCTCATGGTTACAGCAAAGTTGGACTCATTGCTTATTTTAATGCTGCTATTTTGAAGTGCAATAGGCAAAACGTGAAATATCTTAAAACTATGGGGTATGACTACTTTATCGTGCTGGTCTGTTTGTTTATTTATTGTTTGTCTATTTATTTGATGTTTTACTGTTACTAATGTGTCTACTGTTTTGAAGTGACACTGGAGAGGATACACCTTTAAAATTTCGTTGCTGTGGAAACAACAACAATGACAATAAAGCATCTGAATCTGTATCTGATGTAACACCGGTGGTAATGAGTGTGAATACAGGAGACTCATGAACGACTCTGCAGATGGTGCCAGCAAAATTGCCTCCAGCTCTTTCTCAGGGCAAAGCTGTGATCAGTCAGTCCAGTGAGCATCCAGGGGATAGAGATTGAGGCTGTTCAGTCCTATAAATACCTGGGTGTTCATCTCAACAACAAGCTAGACTGGATGGACAACACCATTGTCTTGTACAAGAAGGGCTAGAGTCGACTACTTTTTGCAGAAACTATGGTCCTCTGGCATACAGGAACCACTTCTGAAGTTGTTATATGCCTCAGTGGAGGCATCAGCCATCGCCTACGCAGTTTTTTCAGGGCCTCAGGATTGCTGCAGTGGAAAAAAAAAGGCTGACCAAACTGGTCTGCAGGGCTGGACATCTTGGAGGTGGAGAGTGAGAGGAGGATGAGAGGAGAGGAGTGAGAGGAGGATGATGGCCAAATTCCAGGCCATTTTGGACAACACCTCCCACCCCCTGCCTGAGTCCCTGTATGCCTTAGACAGCTCCTTCAGGAACAGGCTGCTCCACCTGGAGGGTATTCCAGAAAGCAGGTTATGTGACATACCCGGGTAAGTTTAAGGGTAAGTTAGTGGATAACCTCATCTTTCGGTTCCAAAAACAGAGGTTAACTTTCTGGGTATGTACGTAACCATAGCAGCTTACTCTCTGAAGATAACCTGCTACTGAGCAGGTTATGTTCCAGGGTCAGTTTGTTGCAGAAGGTTACTGAGCATGGCGTGCCATTTTGATGATGATCCTGTGGACGTGGAGGCATAAATTATACAAGGTTTTTTTCGCCGGGAGAGAGTTATAAGACCGCGTATTGATATCTTTTCATTTCCTAATGATTATTTGAAAAAGCGTTATCAGTTTTCAAAAGAATCGTTCATTTACTTAACATCTCTTGAAACCGCATATTGCAAATGTCACAAACCCAAACCACGGGTCTGCGCTTAGCACAGAAAACATTCTGTACATAGCACTTCGGTTTTTTGCGTCAGGGCATTTTTTGTACAATATGGGCGACGCAGAGCATGTAGGAAAGGCAACTTTGTGTAGAGCCGTTCGCACAGTATGTCTGGTACTTAACGCTTCTTACACACGTTTGTACAGTTCCCTGTCCATAAAGCTCTGCGTGTTATTAAAGAGGAATTCCACAGAGTGGTAGGTTTGTCCTTTGTAGTAAAATCTATGATGCATATTTAATATGTAGTCATACTATTTATATCTATAGCCTACATGTATTCATCCTGCACACACACACACTTGATACTTCAATATATGACTTTCTATTTCAGGGTTTCCAAACGTAATTTGGAATACATGTAATACATGTATAGTGACAATAAAAGGCATTCATTCATTCATTCATTCATAATTGGATGCATTGATGGCACCTACATTCCTATTAAAGCTCCTTCAATAAATGAGGGAGACTATGTTAATAGATAGATAGATAGATAGATAGATAGACAGATAGATGTCTTTATTGTCACTATACAAGTACAGCGAGATAGCGTAGGAAATCTATTCATAGTATCAATGTGCAGGTAACTTGATTTTGTATCCTTAATTTTTTGCCTTGTTAAAATCATCAAACTCATTACTTTTTTCCACTAACTATAGGTAATCATTACAGGACAGTACAATGCTGGTTACCACTGGTTGCCCTCAGATGGGGTGAGGGGAGGTGGTGGTGGGCCCCCGCTAGTTAGATGGGCTTCAGCCTTTTTTCTATTAGCTACATGACAGAAAGAATATACTAAATCGTGTTTAATAAATAGTTCAGTGATCGTGTAATCAATT